ACTTGGTGGTTCCTGATGTGCCAACAGCTGGAATATCTAGCAATATAAATTCTATCTGGAGGAAGACACAAAGTGGTACATTTAAAGAGTTCTCCAGAAGTGCTGTATGGTCTTTATGTTGGCTTCATGTGTACACCAATTCCCTTCTTGTTGTACCTTCTGCTTGTCCCACAGTTTAGGATGGTTCTGCTGCACTGTCCTAAGGTTATTTGGGGCTTGTTATAAATGCAACGGCAAAGTATGATTAATATAGACAGCGATTTATTATAAAACAATTCAATCACAAACGGGAGAAAATAAAAACCACAATAAAATAGATCAGCGCAGCGCTAGGTGGACAGGGGTCTATACCCAGAGGTACAGATTTACCCAAATCCACACGGAGGGTAGAATGTCCAGGGTTTTTATAGGGGTTTTGTGTCCTGAGGCCAAAATTCCAAGCAGGCACCATTCACCAAAGGTCCTTGATTGTTGGGTGAATGGATTTCCTGGCATTGGAGAATAGAGTTAACAGGTGTCCGGGCAGAGTCTCCTCATATGTAAAGAGATTCTTGATTTCATTTTGGTTCGGGCCATCAGGGTGGAGTAGTGGGATCCGGGTTGGAGCCGATGAATATCTCGGCTGGGCTTTTCCCTTTGTCCAGTCTGATTGCTTTTTCAATAGTGGTTTGCCGGGTGGGGTGTCCTAGCCCAGTGATGGGCATCTCCTCTGAGCTCGTTCCTTTGTCAATCTGATTGCTTCCCCAACAGTGGTCTGCCAGGTGGGGTGTTCAGGTCCTGAGATGGGTATCTCCTCCGAGCTCGTTTCTTTGTTAGCTTGATGGCCCGTGTCCTGCCCATTCTCTTCGGTTGATGGGTGCCGGCTAGGATCTTTATCGGGGTTTCTGCTTGTATTGTTATCTCCTGAATGGGAATTCGCGACTAGATCTGGGAAAAGACTTTCTGGCCACACTGTATTTTATATTATCTCATGTTATTATAAGTACAGATATATTTATTTAGGTCTTTCCGAATTTTTATTCATAACTATATTTATTACAGGCTGATTTCCAGAGACCTTCTCAACAGATCAGCATTGTCCAAAAATAGCATCTACAAAAGCACCACACTACTTGGCATGAATTGCAGCTCTGCAAAGGTGCTGGACCATACTCAATGTATGTACTCATGCTCCTTAGGGATCCTCTCACGGATCCTGCGGCAGAAGCCTACTGGAGGGACTGCTATCATCTCGCACCGCATTCCTCGTGTTGCAAAAGGGAATCGTGCCTCAGCGTCTCGATGGCGACGGGACGGCTGATGTTCCTTCTGCCCCGCCACGATCAGGGGGAGCGCTTTGGACGCTCTGGGTGCCCAGGCATGCACACCCTGCACCCAGGAGAGCAACCCACGGTAAGCCTGCCGAGCATTCACGCCAATGTGCAGGGAAAGCCCGCTGTTCCTCGGAGCACGGTGCGGCCCGACCCGGGCGCGGCGGGCATGTCCCCGCGGCCTCCCGCCGGCAGGCGGCGCCCGCGCCGCTCAGGCACCCCGGCATTCCCGTTCGCGCCGGGCAGTCAAGTGAGGGTGACCCGCACAAGACTGCCTTACAGAGCCTTACCGAAACTTCACCCTATTTACATATTTCAACAAACAAGGGCATCAGCATTCATAGGTTGCAAATTACGTAACTTTTGCGTTAATTACTACTCAACCCCCATTTGCTGGCTGTGTCTCTAGCTTCTCATGTTAATCAGCCCGGGGGCGCGGTCCT